CGACATTCTGGGTAATTTTAACTATTTGTAATTATTTTAATTAACTGGAACGTGGCTATCTTGGACAAAGTGAAGTTTTGTGTGTTGGTGATTTCTTTTTCTACTATAAATGCCTCTGATGATGGCTCCGTGGTGAGCCGAAACATGTAAGGCAGGTGCTGACGAGGTGGAAAACTTAAAAAAGTGTCACATTTGACGGAAGGAACTTGATTGTTAATTGGTTAGTGTGACGGACCAGAATGAAAGACCTTAAACTAATTATTTCGATTTTTTTTTCCTGCAAATCAAATTCGCATTCCATGTTGGTTAATTTCACATAAAAGAAAAGATGAAGATGATTCACGCTCCTCAACAATATATATTATTTTTTTTAATAAACGTTATACATAAAATTTTTTGAGTATTTTTTTTTGGCATGGAACGCATTATTGTATTTTACATTAATTTATATGGGAAAAATTGCTTTGCTTAACAAGTGTTTCACATTACGAGTATGATTCTGGAACGAATTATGCTCGTTAAGCAAGGTTCCATGGTATAAGAATAAAAATCAAAATGATATGGGGCAGGAAATGAACAGAATTACAAAATGTTTAAAAAATGCAAGCACAAAAGTTGTGTTCAGAACTAATAAAAATACAAATGGATTTGATATATACGTAGGTAAGTCAATAAGTAAGTTACAAATGGATATAGATATTAAACAAATAAGAGTACTGATTTGAAAAATGCTTTTATTTCTCAGCATAATCTCCCTGTACATTGAGGCACTTGTCCCATCGTTTCACAAGCCCTTGAAAACCAGCAGCATAAAATTCTTTGGGCTGCTGTCGGAACCAGGTGGTGACTTCCCTTTCTACAGCTTCATGGTTGGGAAAATGTTCAGCCAAAAGATGATGTTTAAGAGGGCCGAACAAATGGAAGTCACTTGGAGCAAGGTAGGGGCTATACGGAGAATGCTTGAGGACTTCCCACTTGAAATTTCACAGTGTCTCATTTGTCCAGTTGGCAGTATGGGAACGCGCATTGTCATGCAAGAGCAACACGCCTCATTCTAACAGCAGCCCAAAGAATTTTATGCTGCTGGTCTTCAGGGGCTTGTGAAAAGATGGGACAAGTGCCTCAATGTACAGGGAGATTACGTTGAGAAATAAAATCATTTTTCAAATCAGTACTCTTTATTTGTTTAAGTTCTATATCCATTTGTAACTTACTTATTGACTTCCCCTTGTATATAAAAACAGAACAGATATATACAATAATATTGGAATTCATCAGTTAGAGTGCTTAGACTGCAATAAAAAATATGTGAGCCACACAAGTTGCAACTTTAAAATAAGGATCACACAGATGACAAAAGTTAAACTAAGTCAGGAGATTCATAGCATATGTTAGAACTGACCATTCCTATGAGAGAGCTGAAGATACAATATAATGTACATTCTGCTCATAAACAAAAAAGGACATTTTCAAATATATATGAATGATATTGCATTTATAACAGAAAAGGAGCTTGCACTTCAATGGAACTTATAGAGATGTCCATGACCCCATACTTGATGCCACTTCTCATAAAGAATAACACCACAGTAAACAACACAATGGCTCACCTGTCCCAGAGAACTCCATTACCTTTATATCCCCGTAAGTTATCTCCATATATTCCAAACAGTTTAAATGATTAGGAAAAATTCTTCAAAATCTGTTTAAGGTATAGACACATGAATTCACTGTTGTCTCATCTTATGTGAATTTGAAACAGTGCAAAATATTACTATAGTCTCACTTTATACGCAAAGTTTCAAATAATGCAAATCCCAAAAAATTTGGCAAGAATCATGTGTTTCAAAACTTGTCTCCAATTATGCAAGGTCTTCAGGAATGCACCCTCACACAAAATGTAATCGCACTGCATATTGTAACCATTTTTCTAACAGCTGACTGATGATGAAAGACAGTGCGGCACTACAGGAGATGTTCAATGACAGGATTGCAGCCTCCAAGATAGTCAGATCTTTGTGTCTGTGACTTTTATTTGTGGAAGAACACAAACGGAAAAGTTTACAGGAACACGTCTCGCATTGCTGAAGCTCTTCAAAACAAGATAAGGAATATGGGTGCTTGAATTTCAGCTGATGAACTTTGCGTGCTTCACAGGGATTCCTTTGAAGTTGCGAGGTGTTTTTAAGGGCCACCAGTAACCACTTTGAGCATTTTGTGTAATATCTGGTGTTCTCATTTTACCTTTAAGTTTCTTGTGCTACTTGAGCAGGTGGTTTCAAGTCACAGAATGAGGGCAGATATTTCAGTAGTTTTTTTTAATACAACTTCGCATGTACCTCTTGTGAAACTGACTGACTAGCATAGTAGAAGGTACAAGGGGTAAGATCGAATAAGTAGTCAGCCTACCTTGTGATCGTTCTGTGTTATCAGAATTTTCCTTTGTTGCAGACTTTGATTGTATCCAGCACCACAGGCATTCAAGAAAACAACTACTAATATGATATATCAAGTTGCAAAAGAGCACAACTGCAAATAATTTTAATAAATATTATTCAAACATAAATTTTACACTTCAAACAAGTTACATCTGGAGATGAGCTGCCCTCCTAACAGACAAGTACCATAACTACAGGAATAAGATACAGGCTTCCTATATCACATTTTCATGCCAAGATCTGATGATGGCATGAATTACAATACCATTAACAGTTGAACATTGCTGGTTTGGGCTTTGGAGTTAGAAAAATGCAATTTTGTTTCCATCTGGTGACAAACCAATTACAGATGGTCAGCAGGAATATGTAGGATTTGAGGTTCTCAGAGCAGTGGCTATGAAAAGTTCTGTCTTCTGGGACATAACACCATGTAGTCCATTGAAAGTCACCTGATGTTCCAGACGAACATATCGCTTCCATCTTCATGGCCAAAGAATAAGTCAAACAAGAAACCAGCATGAAGCACTGGTTGCTAGCTGCTTCATGCTGGTTTCCTGCTTGGCTTATTCAACCCTGAAGATGGAGGCAATATGTTCTGCTGACACACCAATTGAGTTTCAATGGATTACTCAGCATTATATCCTTGTAGACAGAACTCTTCAACAGGAATCTGTTTAGTTGAGTGTGTATTGGCTGGGATAATGGTAGGGGAGAACCATGGCAAACATATAAAAACAGATCCAAAACTATGTCAAACAGAGTACAACCCACCTTTAGAGATCTTGTGGTTCAAATTTCCTTTTCATTTAACATTCAATTTCAGTAATCCCAAGTCAACAGTTTTAGTGTTAGATTTCCCTTTAGGGGTTTCCTTAGTGTTGTGTTCAAATCCACTGCTTCACAGAGATACCCTAAATGCAGGTTTCAGTGTACATGTAAGGAAGTTGATCAGCTCTCTTATATATAATTAATTTAATTATGTGAACTGTTTATACACCTTCACTTGTAAATGTGAACACTTATATTTCAAGGGCTACTTCCTTGAATGGAAATTATATAAAACAAATGTACACCTGGTCCCTGAGCTAATGTTAGCCACTAATGTGTCATCACATTACTTCTTTCCAGCCTGAATGGTTTCCATAACAGTTAGATGGCCTAAGTAACACAGGATCATTTGTCACTTCAGCTGCTGCTATTTAATTTAGCATTTGCAAACTGTGCAGCAATTCCAAGAGCCTCCTGCAGGCAAGAAACATTTGACCCGGACGCCTGGGCTGCCTCAGGCTTACCTCCGCCCTTCCCTTGCATAAGCCCTGACACTTGTTGTACCCACTCATTGGCCTTCAGTCCTCTGTTCACAGCACTCTGAAAGAGTCAAGAAATATAATTACAGTATCTGAAAACAATTAACATTATTTGAACTATCTGCATTATTAAAACTCTGGATATATTTTTCCCCTCTTAAAAAAAAAATACATGGTTTATAAGAATTGATTAATTTGTAGGTTATTTAATTCCTATCATCCTAGAATTTGGAATTTTAATCAGTTAAGAGTATATATTCTGTGTTCTTATCTGTCCTGCAAAGGGACATTAAAATCCCGATATTTAAACGTCTTACTGAAAAAAGCAGTCTTCTGGGATTTGGCACCGTGTATATGTGGTGTTAACCGACGTTTCGGAGGAACGTATCGCCCCCATCTTCTGCTTTCTTCATAGTCACCGCCGTGAAAGCCTCAAATCTTACGTCTTACTGAAGCATTTGATTTTACAATTGTTTGCTCCCTTTTTAAAATTCAATATCTCAACCATGTGTTATAAAATTATGAAACAAAAGGTTTCTGAAAGACCAATTATCAGAGTTCATATATTTTCATTTATCTAGCCAAACCATTAAAGTTTATATATATATAAATTGGTAAAATTCTGTACTTTTGGTTTTATTCTCAAAAAGTTCACCACTATCACCAGTGGCATGCATTTCAGTTCCCAGTACATGATCACAAATATTGATGATGCAGTATCTTACCATAATAAGAAACCGTATCTAACATACAGATGCAGATCTGATATACAGAGTACGTCTTAATTAACGGCCGTGCCATAGCTCAAGTGGTTAGTCACTGGCTTCCCACCATGGTGGTCCAGGTTCGATCCCGGGTCTGGTCAAGTGGGATTTGTGGTGGACAAAGTGATGCTGGGGCAGGTTTTCTCCACAATCACCCTCACCTATCATCTGGGGCTGGTACAATAGGCCAGAAGTGAACGCAGTACAAGGGACTTAGTCCCACCCCACTAGCAATAATAAAAAAGTCTTAATTATATACCTTAAATGTAAGTACTGTTTTTTACACTTACATGCAAGCAGAAACAGTCACATAAATGTATGGCCTCAACAACTCTGTTAGCAAAATATGGCAACAGGAAGCATGAAGAAATAGAGGTAGAAGAAGTGGTTTATGGCAATTTTAATTTTTCTATTTGTAGAAAAAAGTACAATGACATGCTCTTTATGTCTAAGGGCAATGTTATAACAGCTGAGTGTTCTGTGTGCTGCTCATCAACAGCTTCTACATTAGACTGCAGTTTCTGTAAGTTTGAGAAACAATGTCTAATTTCATTCCAAGATACTTTCACACTTATTTTTAGTAATGAATGACTTTAGTATAAAAGATTATTAATGCCAACCAGTGTGATTGATAAATGTATTTTTTTTTAATCTTTCATCCATTACAGCGTTGCCCAAACAACTGGATCACATTAATAGTCCTATTCTTCAAACAGTGGAACCATGACATGGTAGACACTCATCTTCCTTCAAAGAGAAGCAGTATAAAGGACACAAACCAAATTGGTTCTAGATTTTAACAAAGTTTTAAACCATACTTGTAAATAGACTAATTATAATAATTTATATTCATGAAATTGTAATAGTGTCTGTATGTACTGATATTGACCAAAGACATTGTAATAGCATGTATGTATTCGTATGTCCTTCTAAAGATGGTCGCTCTGACCGAAATATGTAACGGATGAAAGACTAAAACAGAAAAAAACATTTATCAATCACACTGGACGGTGTTAATAATCTTTTATACTCCTACTAGTGTGATGGACCAGGATGAACCACGTCAAATGAATGACTTCTTTGGAATTAGATATCTATAACATAACAGAATCCTGTATCATTATTTTCAATTTCCCACTGATTTCAGCAGGCTGTTCTCAAGTTTTCTACAAAATTATTTACAATATAAAAGAAATATATAATGCATAAAACATTTTTCACATCAAAATATATAGATTTTGTCCTTTATTCTTTATCAGAGAAAACATTCTTGCCAAATGATTTTGTTTCTGTCCACATTGCAGAGGTCCATGAATTTCCCACAGATGTCACATTATGCATGTCCCATTTTCTGTCCTTACTGATTAGCATCTCAAGAATTCTAAAAACCAACACAATGGATTTCATGTATTATTACATTAATCCACCTAGTTGTGATTAAGCTACAATGTTTGTCAAGTTGTTACATGTAATATTATACTCACTTTAGGCACTGCTGAAAGGCACACTATCTTTTTTGCTTCTGAGTCTACACTGAAGAACATAGCAGATGTTTCTGCAGACAATGCTTTTACTTGCTTCAGAGCCCCATCAAGAGCCTGAAAATAAAAAATCATTATTACTGTTTGCAGTTCTTCCTTCTGTAACACTGGGGTACAGTCCAGAACACACTCCTGTCAATTCCAACCCTTACATAAATGACATCAGTATAAAGAGAATCTAAAATTTCAAATTGTATAAATCTTGTAGGATTTGTCTCAGCAAGTCATGGAAGCCTCTCATCTGCTCCCTCAAGAAACCTCCTGAGCATTATGCCAGATCTAAAAGGCTATGCAGGTCAATACCTGTTCGGCAGCTCTAATCCTCAGGCTACTGGGTCAATGCTTACTTGGTAGCCCTCGCTTTTACCCAAGCCCTGACAACTTTCCTTTACTTGCTCTGGCCTGCTGTCTGGTACCTGGTCGCCTGGCTTTCCTCTGATCTCCACTGACCCTACCCCTCTCCTCTATTGATTTCCCATGTGGCCCACTCCCCTCCCTCCCTCTGTTCTTATAGAGCCGGGTGTTTTTGACTGGTGGCTCAGTCTGCTAGCCACCTGCTCACAGATTTTTCTACCTTGAAGATGGAGGCAATACATTCCTCCAAAACATCAGTTCACACAAGATCTACGTAGCGACACATCCCAGAAGACGTCATTCTTCTGCATAAATCTTTACTGGTAAGAACTCAATGCAAAGCAGCTGAAGAGAGGAAATAAAAGTTATTCCAGGAAAGTGTTCAGAGAACTCCTTAAATTAACCTGTCACTGATTTCCCTCCACTTCATCATACATCATCATTCCATGAGCCAAAAAGGATTGCTAATTTTACTTAATGGTTCTCTGAAATAATACTGAATATATGAATGTGGTATTGCATAATAATTATAAACAGTATATTAGAAAGGATACAAAAAAACATTACTAACATGTGTTCCTGGTTATTATCCTAGCATGTGCAGGGAAGAACACTCAAACATTAAGACTAAAATCAGCTAGAAATGCTGATCTCCCAGTCCAGATTCAAACCAGGGGCCCTGTTTAGAAAATGTGGGAGCCTCAACATCTCTCAATGCTGTGGGCCTCCACAACCTCTTACAGTGATAGCTTTAACTCTTACATAATAGTCAAGTGTTCAAAGAGAGATGGTATTACACCGAATCAGCTCCTGTCATTTATATTTACAGATTGTTGGTACGTAACATACCTGTGGTCCAGTCCAGTCTTTTGCTACCTTCTTATCAATTATAAGAGGATGACCATGGACACAGTTTTGCCATGTTATATAGGGAAGTCAAAAATTATCCGCACTCTTGTTTTTCCAATCCATATATACATAAGTAGGGGTTGAACAAGTACTTCATTTTTCTGCATAGTCTCCTCCCTTTTCAATGCACTTGGCCCAGCGGTCCAAAAGCTTGCGTATTCCCTTCACGAAGGTTTTCGGTTGGTCGCGCAACCATTTGTGCACCGCTTCCCCCACTTCTTTGTCCGTAGAAAATCAAAAACCTCATAAAACATCTTTGAGCAGTCCAAAGAGATGATAGTCGGAAAGGGTGAGATCTGGGCTGTAGGCAGGGTGTTCCAGCACCTCGAAACACACATGGTTAATGGTTTCAACGGTCTGGCCATCCTTGTGTGTGTTCATTGTCATGCAACAACACTTTCTTCGACAATATGCCTCGGCATTTGGTGCGAATTCCTGGCTTCAGATTGTTGGCCAGCAAATCACTGTATCTTGCACTGTTGATCGTACACCCTTTTTCCAGGTGGTCTTCCAGTATAGGCCTTTTTGAGTCCCAAAAAGTGGTTAGCATCACCTTTCCCACGAAAGATTGAGTCTTGAATTTCATCTTCATTTGCAATCCCGGGTGCTTCCACGCCATACTCTGGCTTTTGGATTCTGGCTCACTGTGATGAACCCACATATGAATTTCAGCCCCTGATACACCTTCCAATCAGAGAAATTGGATCACTATTCTTTGTTAATCTGCTAGCAGAGCGGCCATGTTTACACTGTCACAGCATCAATGAAAATGATGCGATCAAGGTAAAACTTCGATCACGTGACCACAGTAGTACCAACTCTAACAATGCATGTGTAGGAGGCAGTGTGACAAACCTAAAGATGTGTTATGGAGAAAGTGTGGATAATTTCTGACTCGTATATTGTCACATTTCGAATCCAGAAGAGTTACTACCATCCAGATGGTAGAACAGATCATCGCATAAGACGTAACAATAGCGGTATTGTAATTCTAACAGTGAGCCGTTGCGTAGAGATGAGTCTCCACAGCTACGACAAACAGAGATGAGTCTCCACAGTTACGACGAATACATGGAGACCCCCACAGCGACAATGCAATAATAGTGGGCTGTTGCCTGGGGCAAACAAACGCGTTTCCTAGGAGATGAAAGATAACGAATTGTTAGAAGCGTTGCATGACAACAGAAGGTTCATTGCATAATGACCGCCGAGGCTATAGAAGCCCAGCTTCAACAAGAGACAAGTTAGGAGGTCAAATACCTCCACCCTGATCCTGCGAGTCGTAGGAGGCGACGAAAAGGGAAGTCTCAAGTTTGAGACAGTAAAATATGGTCGCAAGTCCCAAGAGACTTCAACCCAAGAAAGACAGCACTGGCAAGGGCCAGCAGCATATACAAAAGACAGACCCGTCCTCTCGTCAGAGAGTGCGCCCCACAGAAGCAAGACCGTAATTGTCAAACGGTAATAATTAATATCTGGTCTTGAGCCCCAGATGGGGCTTGACACCAAGACTCACTGACTGACTGATCATCAGTCGCAATGTGACTCTGACTTGAGACAAGTTAGTCTTGGAATAGCCGCTGCTGAAGACAGTATTGGGATAGCCGTCACCGAAGACACATGAGATCCCGCCACGGCCAAGGACATTATAAGCATTGGAGTACTGGGTCAGAAATCAAGTGGCACTGCAAGTGCTGATAACTGTAAAGTGTATAAGTGAAGCACAATGAAGATTCGCTAAATCTGAGACCCACGTGAAGTTATTTGTCATGTGACACACCCAACACGTGACAATATATGTATAAAACAACAAAAGCATTATTCACTAATGGTTTTGAAAGTAGTTTGGATTCAGAAAACAGTAAGTGCTGTAAAGCTGATAAAACTAATGATCAAGCTGAAGCTGATGTAACCTGTTTCTAGGCAACAGATCGATAAAACACGTTCCTGCACCAATGAATATGCACAAAACAATACAGTTAATGTGAAATGGTGTCTTCTACTCAGTCCGTGCAAAGGGGTGATAAGGAAGACAAGTGGGAAACCCAGATCAGTCGAGCCAGTGGAGTTGTGGGATATTTGCTGGACGGTAATGAACTGAGCAGAGAAGCTGAAGAATTTC